TTGAAGCAGCCTGACTGTATAGTTGCATGAGTCTGCAAGATCTTCTTGGCTGCAAGATCTTCTTGGCTGGAGCTACTTTTTGATTAATGTAGAATCACTAAGAGCCCAGCATATTTTCTTAATATTTCTAGTTAGACAGTTTCATCTATACTTCATCTGAAAAACTATGGCCAAATCTGTAATTAGCATTGGCAAGTCTGAGCATATTCTTGATGATGTTGTTGGCTAAAACCAATGTTGAAAAGAGGGGGTCAAGCTGCATGCCTCAGGGGCTCTACAGTTACTTCAGAGACCCTCAGTGGGGGTTAACAATCAAGTTACCAGTTCAAATCCAGCAAAGGTCAACAGTGATTAACACTCTTTTGTTCTATTTGTTAGTGTGAAACAGATGTGAAATGAAGTTATGATCAAAATCCAATTCCTAGTAGATATTTTACATCATAAGCACTAAACTCGTAATGATCCCTTGCTGGCAATCTGATTAGAATGAGCAGTTAATTGAACAGACACAGAGACTGCTATGCATCCCTTACTGCTCTTCCCTGTAACGAAAAGTACGCTCATTTTTGGACTGAAGGACATGATGGAAAATTGCTTTTCCTGCCTGAATCCTTTATACTCAGTAGATACATTTGTAAATTTTTTTATCCTTGGTGATATCAAATTATATTTTTGACTACAAGTACTGTTAAAACTGTTTTAAGTGATTTGATTGTAACTTAGAAATGAAGCATTTGGTAATTTTAAATATGTATGGGCAGAACCTCAGTTGGATTAATCAGGCATGGACCTACTGAAAAATCAGTTAAGTGGAAGTCAGTGATGTTGGCAAAGGATCTGCTTCTGCATTACACAAAGTACACGACAATGCTTGAAAAGGCATGGGTAATTTTAGACAAAAGTATGCCATAGCTGAATTATTTGCATACACGTGTGTGTTTTCTCTCTAGAACCTCACAGTCACTGCCCTTCTCCTACTTCCTGGGCGCCAAACACATTTGGGGGCTAAGGATGAAGGGATTAGACCTTTGACTTGGAGTTTAGTCTTCAGATATTTGGTTATATTTACTACCATGATACAGATACTGTAAATTACAAAGCCTGATCTTATACTATCCTGCAACTAGTGAGTGACTGAATAGATTTTTTTGTTTGTTTGCTTTTTTTGTAAACATGATGTCTCTTAGACCAAATCTCTGTTTACATTGTGCTCCATAGAAAATATTATTCTGAAATTACTGGAACAATTTATTATATTAGTTCATCCAGTATATTACTGGATTCTACTATTTCATAAACTTATTTTACAAAGAATATCTGTAAGATAAGGGCTCAAAAAAATTCATTGATTGGATATAATCTTGTAACAAGTACAAATTGGACTTTTCTTGCTGTCTGACATTCTCATGTCTTAGTTATTTATATGGTAAAGTAAGGAAAGCCGTTAAAAAGCAACTATCCTTTTAAGTTGAGTAAGATTTTAATGGTTTTCAGAAAGTTTATGGGAATTATATTATTAGATTTCAAGTAAATTTTTAAAAGTAGAAAATGTTATTCATTATGCAGTTTAGAAATTACCAAGAGGCGCTATTGACTCATAGCTGTACGATGAAGGGGGAATTGGTGAATTCACACTTTCAAGGATGGATTATATATATATATAATATACATATAATATATATATGTATATATTTTATATATATATATATAATAAATATAATATATATTTATATATAAATATATAATATATATTATAAAGGTAATTTATATAAATATATTTATATATATACATATAATTATCTTTATTATATAGATAGATAGATAGGTAGATAAAATTACCTTTACTATAACTCTTTTCAAAGCAACAAGTCATACATGTTACACAACAGAGATATCCTTGCCTGTGGAGAATATTAGGAGCTCTTAGTGCCCTATGAGTGGATTTCAGTTCCTTTGATCATATGGACTTACTGAGTACAGTAAAATCTCCTCTGAGATGTCTTTGTTTCCCAGAATTTGTATCCTTTTCAAAACAGCTAGTGGCATTCTATGTCTCTGCTGGTGATTGAAATGAACATTTTTGGGACATCTTGGATATGACATTCAAAGTAAAAGAGAGATTTGTACAAACTCTTAACTTTGTAGTTGAACTGTGACATCACAAATATTTTTTCTTTTTTTTCTTGCCTTGACAAATTCTATTTCTATGATAAAGCTGTCTAGGGCAGGGACTGTATATTTTTGCAGTTTTTAGTACGTCCTAACCCTGACGAAAGGATGGACCATGAGCACTGCAGTAATAGTAATCATATATAACACTAATAGTGGATTTTGAAATGATGTCTATTCTGCAAATGCATTTCAAATAAACACAAGGAAAGGTGTAGTTTACTCCCTGAAGAATAGAACTGCCAGGCATTTAAATTTAAATTAAATGCTTTTATGAGTTCATTGAATGTTATTTAGCAAGTATAGTATAGCAAAAGCATGTTACCTATTGCCTTAGAATGAGGTTTTTATTGCTTCTTCATAGTTATCTTTTGTACCGGTATTTGGCAGGTAAGAAATGAAATTTACTTGCTAAGGTTAAATTGTTTTGTGCTGTTGTTGAGCCACACAGATACAGAAATACAATGATGGAAGAAATGTATTTGCTTCTGGGGAGGGGGCAGATGTTTATGCATAGTAGTCTTGACCTCCCTTTAAAGAAATATTTATTCTCTGAAAGTCGAAGATATTATGAGCCACTCCACTGAAAACCAGTTCAAACAGGAGATGGTACAAATGGAACTATAGACAGAATTGGCCCAAACAATTCAGTGTGGTCAAGACAGTGACACTCAGAACGATCTGAGGCCAAAGCACAATGGACTCCAAGATGAAGGATCTCTCAAACTTGATATGAGAAGTTCCTTCTTCTCTATCTATTTCTAGAACCCCCACATTTCCTGATTCATGCTGATTTGGAATCAATAATGTCTGATTTTTTCCTGAATCCTGAGTTTGTTATATTTTAGTGTTTGCAGTACTAGAGGGGAGCTTACAAGCAGGAGGGAGGCTGACTTTTTAGGTAATCTAATACTATTAGTGACAAGAATGGGGAATGGCATTAAAGTAGAAGAGGGGAGATTTATGTTATGTGTTAGGGAATAATTCTTTACTCAGAGTGGGGTGAGGCACTGGCACGGGCTGCCCTGAGAATTTGTAGGTGCCCCATCCTTGAAGTCATTCAAGACTAGGTTGGATTGGGCCCTGGGCAGTCTGATCAGGGGAGTGCCAACACTGCCCGTAGTATGGGATCGAAACTAGATGATCTTTAAGGTCACTTCCAACATAAGACATTGTATGATTCTCTACAGAGGTGCTGTTGATTAAATACTCCAATCCACACATATAAGGATTCCAGCCTTATTTTCCAGATTCCACCTTTTTCTCTAATTCTCAAAAACTTCTGAGTACCACACATATTGGAAGTTCACTGTTTTCTAAATCCATTTTGATAGACCAGTTGAATTTTTTACATAACTGAGAAGGCACTGTGATACAAGGTCAGAATAATAAATTTTATACTTTTATTCTTTATGTAGGAAATGTAATATGGTGCCATCACTACTTTATTACTCTGCAGTCATTCTGTTAACTATTCAACTTAAAATATTTCAGCCATCAGCATTTGGAGAAAGTTCACAGGTTTTGGGCTGTCCATAGTAATTTGCCTTAAAAAACTACATTTCTTCTAGTCACCCTTCCTGGAAATGCAGTTATGGATCAAGACACTGGAGTAGTTGAAGTGAGCTGAGGAGATGCTAGTCTGAGAATGCATTCAATTACCTCTAGTATAACAAATGCTTTAGGGCTTATGTATTTCTATTTGGAAGCTATGTTTATATTTTCTGCTAACTGGAATAGTTTGGTTCTTTTCTGTGAAAGACTATGAAAGTGTCTCTGAAGGGTTTATGAAACTTGGACTCAAGTTTTGATTAAAAAAAAGTTTCTCTGTTCTTTGAAGGTGCTAGGCAGAGATCAGCAAGCATAAAATAATCCCAAAGATATCAGCCTAGCAGACCTTGAACTATCTGTATTCAACTTGCTTTGGTACATTTTAATGTGAATTTAAAACTATGTATCAGAACTACTCCATGTTATAGGAGATTACTTGTGGTCCTCCAAAGGCAAATTCATAGGAATGCTTATTATCTTAAAAATCAATGTGCTGAAATGCTGTTCATTCTTCTTATGCTTTTCATTTTTGGTATGAAGAACTTAGCAATGAATAACCTCCTTCAACTTATATGTGAATGCCCAAAAGACTTGTAACTCATCTCAATTTAAATTAATGACCTTAGTGATGGTACTAGCAATTGGACCAAGGCTCTCATGAGCCAGATATTTGCATATGGAATTTGATTAATCCGTTGGCTATTAATTTTCGCTTTTAATTAGCTATGATGCTATTGTAGGAAGAAAATACAAGATAACTATTAGGCACAGAAAATGTTGATTTTTCTGTTGGGTATTCTGTTTTGTTTTGACTATGCTAGGTTCCTTCACAGCATCTGCTTTGATCAACTCAGAAATATATACCATAAACCTAAAAACTAGTCCGCAGAAATTCAGGGATCATACTACCAAGGAATACTTAACTAAATAAATATATGTAATTTACAAATGTAGAGAGATTCGTATATGGTATCCTCTTCTAGTAGTCTGTAACTTTATTCCTCTTAATGGAATAATAGTTATTGCATGATATCTCTGTTCACAGTTACAGAAAGGCCAACAATGTATATAAAATGAAGTAGTATTTGTCTGAGGCTGTTTGATCTTCCTACATCCCAGATGATCAAATGTGCACTGGTGGTTGAGTCCTGTTCAGATTTAGATCAAGAGCAAATTTTGCCATTTCCATATGTCTTCAACATTTCTGCCATCTGGGAACACTGCAACAGTTTTGCTCATCAACTTCTGGGAAAGCAGGGCCCATCACATATAGTGCTTACCTGGGAAAACAAGTGCCATCACTCCTAACATCTCTCCCTTCATCCTTCTTCAACACAGCTTTTATTGCAGAACATCATGACATCGTGTGGTATGGAATATCCCTTTAGTTAGCTGGGTTGAGCTGTCCTGGTTATGCCTCCTCCCATCTCCTTGTGCATCCACTGCTCCTCACTGTCAGAGCACCATGAGAAGGAAGAGTACTTCAGGCTGTGTAAACACTGCTGTGGTGTATTGTGTGTGATAACTATTTTCACCAGCCCCCCTTTCCCTCCCTCCCACCAAAACAGAGAATCATATGAGCCTCTACAAAGAAAATTATCTCAACCAAAACCATGATACCACTATAAAGTACTGGGATATCTTCCATTTAACTAGTGTAGAACATGCTACAGTCTTTTTTATCCTCTTCAGAAGGTATGTGTAACCATACGAAGTAGACATTTTCTTTAGTGTGCTATCTGTGAAGAAAAATACAGGGCAAATTTTGATTAAAATGTTGCTCTGTGGCCTTTCAAATAAAATCTAATTTTATTTAATATTACTTTATACATGTATGCAGAAAATGGCATACCAATATTAATAAAAGAGGCTTACAGGAATGTGGAAAGAGAGAAATACATCCTTGACAAAATTTATTTACCTACCTAGACTTTCATTTCAAAGTTAGCAGCACTGTACAATACTGGGATAATACAAGGGTCATAAAATTCTGTTAGACATTTTTAACCCACTTTAATTTATTCCAAGGAAGTTTAATCTCCTGCTGAACAGAGCTGGCTGAATTTTCAAAAGCCATAATCCACTGAAGTAAAAAATCCTTAATGACAACACAGGCAGCAAGCTTCAACAGTTTAGTTTAAATTCTTTCTAAAAATGTAAAATGTAGTGCAAGAGTTAATAGGATATTTCATACAGATATATTTCAATCATTTTCCAAATCTTTATAAGTTCACTTGCATCTCTACCATTAGAAATATTTGGAGAGAATTCCAGCACTTCTATGGCAGAAAGCAGAAAGCTGTAGAATTGTGATGAGAAGAATTTCACACTGTATTGTAACTCAGCTGGTCCTTCAGTTCACAGGCTGTTATATGTGGCAGTGTAATGTTTTCTAAGTAGATAGAGAAATGATGTTGAACAGCATCAATTCTACCTTAATTATATTACTAGTCAAGAAAATGAAAACAAACTACATAATGCCACACTATATTCATTCTTCTGCTCCTCTAGGAGTTTTATAATTAACTTCAGTGGTGGGTCAGGATTGACTAATAAATTGAGCAGAGACAGTTCATAAATTTTCATGTATTCTAGAATCACAGTTACAAAGTGTATTTATATAGTCCATTTTCTACCATCTTTGGAGCTACCCAGTTCTTGAAATACCTTTAAATGAAGCAACACTTCCTTTTCTTGACCTGGAAGCATAGTGCCATGCTTTCTTTTATAGCTCTGGTTGGCCTGATCTCATCCATGTACTGAGCTTCTGCCTGAACTATACTGAAAAAATACAGATGCTATGCTAGATTTTGTTGTGGCCTTCTGGACAAGAATTTAGGTGGCATCATGCTGATGTTCTCAAGCTCTTAGATTAATTTCAATAGCAATCTCTTCCTTTTTTTTTTTTTTTCCTTTTTCCAGGAGACACTTTTTGAAGAAAAACAATGAGATCCCTTCTCTGAAAGACAACAGAGACAGCAGTTCTTTTTTTTTGCCTCTGCTTTCTAGATAAAGGTAGAATGTTTCTTAGAGCTGATATCTCATGACTTCCTTGTATGGATGTGTGGTTTTGATTCCTGGTTCAAAGTGCCCAGCCTTTCTCCAGGCACTTAGAGGAGTCTGGGTGTTTAACTTCAAGTCATTTTTCCACTCTGGTAGCTTGTGAAAGGAAAAAGAAAATCATTACAAATAATTTACAATGAGCTGTGCTGCCACAGCTGAAAGGACAATACTCAGGTAGAGAAAAGCAGAGAAAATTGAGAAAGAAAAAACGTCAGAGCAGTGCTGCTGGAAGAAATATCCCCATAATCATAGACTGTCTGACAGATTTTGGGTGCCTATATGTCTCTTTAGAAGGCTAAATACTCTTTGAACGCTCAAGTATTAAACATTTTGTTCTAATCACTAGTTAACAAAACAGGCTCAAGGAAGGTTATTTTTCAGACTGTAAACACTTGTGAAAATGATTTGTATGATCAAAGATCAAACAAAATCCCAAAGATAACAAAATAGTACAAAACTATACTCTCATAGAAAGGAAAGCCCTCTGTAGGAAATTTCTTAGATCTAAAAGTATGAGCAATACTACAAAGTATTCAAGTGGAATAATGGAAGTGTTCAAGCCCAGTGTAGGTAGGAGGTAGATGGTAGTGGGAGGTATCCCTGACCATGGCAAGGGATCCATGTAGTCCCTTCTGATCCAAACAATTATATCACACTGTGGCTCTATGATTCTAAGACTACACTACTTGTACAAACAACACAGCACTAGCTTCAGCACACTTACAGTATTGGTTATGGTAGACTTTGGTGTGATTATAGTCTTGTGGAAATGGTTTTGATAGAGCAAACTTGTCCAGCTTCTAGCCTGCAATATTTGTGCTCCCTCCACAGTATTCTCTCAACGGCAATTTCATAAGTGATAGGCACTGTAGGAGTACAAGATGATGAGCATTTATTCAGTCCTTGATGGTCCATCAATAGCTAATTGAGATAGATCATGTAGTTCATTTGTTTCTCACGTTATTAGCTGTGGAATAAGCCTAGAAGAGTTGTTGTATCTACCACCTAAATCCCATGCAAGTGAGGTGGTGAGCGAGATGATTCCCACTCTAAATCGTGAGCTGGTCTGACACAGGATATGTTCTGACTCCTTTAAAAGTGGTGGCAGTCTGCCACTTTCCTTCTTCAGTCGGTTTCTTAACATTCACAGAGCTTTTGGCAACAGCCACAGGCAATACGAATTCAAAGGATAGTAAATAAGATTAAAACAAAATTTGATGTGTAATTCTAAAGTATTCTTACTGGAAACCAACCTCTGAATATGTTGTATCATCTTTGCATTCTGAGAAGATTATTTGAAACTAACTAGTTTTTCATACTTACGGATAATAGGCTACTAACATTGTGTTTATAATAAACAATACAATTACTAAGAATTGTAATACACCTAAATAAAGAAGTGTACCTATTGATATATCAGAGCCTTTGGATATGAATTTTGTAACTACCCTTTGATTCTTAGCCAGGTCCAAATCAGATATCAACAGACACAAGCACTCTAATTTAAATTTCTATTAAATTTCACTGAATTCATATTAGCTGCCGGTCTTGGATAATCTCTATTGTGCAAAATATTAAAAAAGCTCAAATTTTCCTTCAAATAAAAGCCATTTGGAACAAACAGTATAGCTTAAAAATTAAAACGAATTTAAATAGCACAAAGGAAATCTTAATGAAACTTAAAATCTATGCAAGAACTGCAGTGTATGTTAAATTCTATTTCACAGCTAAAAGACAATGGAAAATATTTTACATTCCCTATGGTTTCTGTGCAACATAAATATTGTTTTTTACACATAATTGAAGTGAATGATCCCAAATCAGTATTTTACATAATATTGTAGAAAACTTCAGGTGCTTCATTTAAAATGATAAGTAATGAAAGAAGGTCACCAATGGAATTCTCTGGGGCTCTGTGCAAGGACCTCTGTTCAACATATTTATAAATGGCCTCTGGCTGCTGTTGGAGGCCAGAGTTTTTGGCTTGATCCCACATAACCATTTTTGTGTTCTCATTTGAGTAAATTAGGATTTACTGTCTCATTTTTCACGTTCATCTGAGCTTGATGATGCTTTGATTTAAAAAGAAAAAAATCTAAATACTTATTCTTTGCTGGTCAAACAGAAAAATGTTGTATAAGTTTGACACACAGATTTCTGCTTATGTGAGGTAGAAACTTGAGAGATTTTCTGCATTTGCCCTCTTCTCACATATCAATTTATAGCAGCCACAATTCCTTCACTGAGTCTATCTTCCAGTTATGTCCATAAGTACTGTTCCATCGGCTGGGATATTTGACAGAGGAAAGAAAATTCTAAGTTCTTGTGTACAGAGAGTACACAAACAGTGCTGCCAAATTGCTACAGAGCTATGCCAACAAAAATGATTTCAGTTTTGATTAGTTGTTTACCTGAAGAGAGAGATTTTGTACCTTGAGTATTAGATTGTTGTTTACATTTTCATTTGCCCTCAAGTAGTCATATATTCAGAGAAACAAATACATAATTTCTAAGCCAATACTGTAATTACAGATAATGAACTGTATTAGAGAAAAGTGAGAAATCAAGATACTGTGTATCTCTTTGAATGACTCAGATAAATTTGAGATTTAATCTTAATATTGATACTACTATGGTTGATTTTGCCCTGAAATGAGAATAGAGCCTAACTCACCACTTAAGACCCTGACGACTTCCTGACATACTTTCCAACTTTGTTTTCTTTGTTTCAAATGTTCAGGTTTGATCTGACTGAGCATTCAGAATTCAATGCCTTAAAAAGGATTCCAAGGTTTTTGAGACAAATCCTACCTATCCCTTAGGAAGTCCTAAATGAACTGCAGATATTCACTAAAACACATCTAATGAAGCTAAACATCATCATGAAAATTTCTTCATCCTCAGAAAGAAGGATATAGAATGAAAAGAAAATTCTGTTTTAATGGAGCAAAAAGCTGCATTACAGATCAGTTCCTACGTCTTTTATTAATTGTGCTTTGATGTATTGTGTCCAGGGAAACTGCTGTCTATATTTCTGCCTAAAAAAATAGAAAGAAATGGAATAGCTGTTTGTCATTATTCATTGAAAAAGGTTCCAGGCAGTCTGGTCCCTGTACCTTTTTTATATCAGTAAGCTTTACTAGGTAGTGGAGAGTTGTATTTTCCATTAAAGATACAAGTCTGGAAGCAAAGGTCAATTTGTTATACTTACTGAGCTGCTTTTCCAGTAACATTTGTTGTAATGGCTAAGCTTTCCTAAATCTTTTTTCTCCTTACTATTTTTCTATACAGACACTACTGACATCATAATTATTCACTTCTAGCTACGTAGTCACAGGAAATTCATCTCCTCAGCCCTTTTGCAACATTGATTTATTGCACTGTACTTGGCAAAATTTTTTGTTGTTTCTTGTATACTCTACTGTTCCTCCATTACAGTAAAGCTTAAAGCTACCAGTGAAGACGGGCTATCATAGAAAGCTCTGTATATACATACAATGAAAAACAAGCCTGGACCATGATCACTTCAGCCAACAGAAGCTGAAATAGGTCTTATTTTTGTGGAGTGAAGTAGACATAAATCTGTTCCTGTCATCTCTATAAATTTTTATTATGTAAATATAGAGAAAAATGCTCATTCTCGTCCCTAATGTATAGACTTCAACTGTCCCAGTGAATTCTTACTGAAATTTGTTACTGAAAAAAAGATAAATAATGAAGGGGAATGCATTGCAGTCTGTGAGTGGCTGTGGTTTTGGAAGAGAAGGCAACTCGTTTTATGTTGAATTACTTGTTAACGGACAGTATGCACGTTTCTGGATTATATGCACATACAGTCAAAGAAGAAGGAAAAAGCCAGGATGGAATTTTGTCTACTTTGGGGTATAACCTTCAATTAGTCATTTAAAATTGGATCTTTTTTCAGGTTTTGCTAAAATGAGTCTGTGTTTCAGTAAGCTGGTTTTCACAGTGCTAAGTGCAAAATCACATGGATTTTATGATCTTTCCTGTATTATTTCAAACTTATGGTTGGAAAGAAGAGAGACAGAAGAAAATTGTGGATTAGCTCATGTGAAAATAACTGCTGCACTTGCAGAAATTCTATTACACAGAAGTGCTCTGTATTATTGGGTGTGCCAGTCTCCGAGGATACATTTAGCTGCTCTTCATAGCACATAGTGCACTAACAGTACATGAAAAGGTACTTGGCTGGAAAATGTTAGTGAAGAGCTATGAATTCTAGAACTTTTTTATTAACAACTGTGGATTGTTTCTCGAGTACTCGCACAAACACTTGACTAGGGAGGGCAGGTTCAGGCCTTTAGTCATGAATGTAGTCAGTTACCCACAATGAAAATTGCAGAGGTCTCAGGGCTGACTGCGTGACTAGAAGCCTTTCAGACGTTACTAAATAAATGACAGTAACAATCAGTTGTATTTATTAGGTCAAGTATGAAGCTGTTGAACATACATGGGATCTGAATCATTCATTTCCATGAAATATACTGGCTTTCAAAAATGTACTTGTATTGGATCAGTCAGCAATTATATATATAAAAAAAATACTTGCTTCCCTTTGTTGTTCAGTTTTAGCTGGAAAAAAAAAAAAAAAAGACCTTATTTTTAAATAGTTTTTATTCCATTACATCTTGTTACATGGAACTTGCTGCATAATCCTATGAAATGTAAATTATTGGAGGCAGAAAGGCAAACAAAGGAAATGCAAGCTCCAAGGAAAGAAAAATATAGTGTCGGTAATCTGTGTCCTACCTACAGATTGTAGGTAGACTAGCTCTTCTAACTACCTGCTTAGATTCATAACAGGTTGACAGATTCATGCTGGACAGGCACATTTTTCCTTTTAGCCACATATCTCCCCTTATTTTGCACGCCTTCCACATATGCCACTATAAAATTATATTCTGAGTCTCATTCGCTCTCTCTGTGACATGTTCATTGCTGCTTCATTAACCAGTGCACCATCAGTGCATTTCATTACAGCTTCTCTCCTGGCTCACTGTGTTGATTCTAAGATGCAGCTAGAAAGTGGCTATCAAAATGCTAGGCTGTGTTTATCCTTCTTTCATTTCAAAAGAGGAAAAAGTCATCCCTTTGGCAAGATCTTAAATAAAACCCATATTTTAGCTATTACTTCTACTCACTCCTCTCACTGGAATTGCACTGGGAAGCTGTAGTATGGGATGTGACAGAACAGTTTACCTATTTGTTTACTGTAAAGGCTGTGGACATACCTCCTATCCGAGGATACAAAGGCTTCTTAGTCTGCTTTTATGTATATGTCTTCAACTGGTCTTGAAAGTGTATTTAAGCTAATGAAAGCATTTTCAATTCCATTATTGTTAGGAAATGAAAAGGTCAAGCTGTGATAGACATTGTCCATGTCATATACCTACAGTTATAGCAGTAGAGAGGGGTCATGGTTTAAATATTAGCCAATTTTCAATATATTTCCTTAGTTGGGAATATACTCAATTCTATTTTAAGTAAAAAGAAAGATGTAACTGAAAATATAAAGGCACAATGTAACTCAGTGCCGGAACACAGAGTTATAAACCAGGCATTTTCAGAATGAATTATGTAGTCATGAAAAGGGAAATAAGAAACTCAATGGCTTCTTCATGTAAGTTCAAACACTAAAAAAAATGTGGTAGTGTGCCTGGTCTAAGCTTTTAAAGAAATGAGTCTAAGGGTGTTGTAGATGCCTCCTGTTTTCTTGCTGTCCCCTGCTCATTCCAGCCCTTCCTGCTCTCCATAACTGCTGTGAGTTAGACAGCTGCGAGGCTGCTTCTCTTCTTGGTTTTCCACACAATTAAAGCAAAGAGAAAATAAATAAATAAATAAATAAATAAATGCTCCAACACTGAATTCTGTGAAAACCTATCTCCGAAATTTATGATTTTTAGGAACATGGTCTACAGTTTTTTCTCCCTCCTTTTTTTTTTTTTTTTTTTTTTTTTTTTTAAATTTAAATGTGCTCTGTACAATTGTTAAAAATTATTACTTTCAAATAAGTAGCCATATTTTTTCTTGAAATTGCACATATGACTCTCCGTCTCGCACAGACCGCTCTGGTTCATGGAGAAAGATGTGAGGAAACAGGAGTGAGGAAGGGAGAAATGCATGTCAGACTTCATACAGATAAGGCAAATCAGTAGCTGATCTAGAAAGGGAGCAAAAGAGCGTGACTCCTCTTGCATTAACTGGGGTATAACTCACAGTAGATTTATTGCTGTTGAAGAAACTTGTTAAAACTTACATTATTCTATTATTTATACTGTAGTTGTTACTGAAGGTCTTAGTCAAGACTGCAGACTAATGTCTTTTTTACAAAAGGAGTAGGGAAATTAGGTTGCTACTGTCAGATTTGTAGTGACATGAACTTTGAGCATGGTCAAATTGGCATCAAGACAACACCCTAACAGTGAACTCAAGGGGCAGTAAAGATAAATGAATGTGCCTCAGATGGGTGAAAAAACAGCTACTGTGAGGAGAAAACATTAAAATAAAAGTACTTGACTCTGAGGTGAGAAATGGTCACCAAAAGCAGGATGACACAGCTGTGTACCTTAGTTTTTGCAAACTTCATTCCTTACTCATCAATTATAGGCATCATGAAGACATAGCTTGTATGCCGAAGAATTAAATGAATGGTCAGAATTAATTCTGAAGGCAAAAGATTGACAAAAGAGAATTAAATAACAACTACTTGGAAAGAAGAAGAAAATAGACAGTTATGTTTTGTTCTACTTGAGTACAGAGAATGTAGTTTTTTCTCCCCAAAAATAGTTCTTTATGATTTTGAAATCTGCTCATTTTCCCAGGTGGAAATGGTGGGTTTTGTATTATATATCTTAATGTCTTCTTTCTTTTTTCTTTTCCTTCATTCTTTTTCAGGTTACCTGTGCAAATTTAACAAATGGAGGTAAATCAGAACTTCTTAAATCAGGAAGCTCCAAATCCACACTAAAGCACATATGGACAGAAAGTAGCAAAGACTTGTCCATCAGCCGACTGCTGTCACAGACTTTTCGTGGAAAGGAGAACGATACAGATTTGGACCTGCGATATGATGCCCCAGAAACTTATACTGAGCAAGATCTCTGGGACTGGCTGAGGAACTCCACAGACCTACAAGAGCCTCGGCCCAGGGCAAAGAGACGGCCTATTGTCAAGACTGGGAAATTTAAGAAAATGTTTGGCTGGGGCGATTTTCATTCCAACATCAAGACTGTGAAGCTAAATCTGTTAATAACAGGGAAAATCGTTGACCATGGCAATGGGACGTTTAGCGTTTACTTCAGGCATAACTCCACTGGTCAAGGGAATGTATCTGTGAGCCTAGTGCCCCCTACAAAAATAGTGGAATTTGACTTGGCACAACAGACAGTGATTGATGCCAAAGATTCCAAGTCCTTTAACTGTCGAATCGAGTACGAAAAGGTTGACAAGGCTACCAAGAACACACTCTGCAACTATGACCCTTCAAAAACCTGTTATCAGGAGCAGACCCAGAGCCATGTGTCATGGCTCTGCTCCAAGCCCTTTAAAGTAATCTGTATTTACATTTCCTTTTATAGTACAGATTATAAACTAGTACAGAAGGTGTGTCCTGATTACAACTACCACAGTGACACACCCTACTTCCCCTCAGGGTGAGGATAAACACGTGTCTGAGACTGAAGCCTGGGGAATAAAGGAATTCGTATGACAGGGCTGTAACCTCAAGGAGGAAAGCCACATCTATTGCCTGGAATGTGTCTACCTGCTGCTGATGTCATATGGCTGCAAATATGTTAGTGGAAAACAATATAATGTCATTTTTGCCCAGTCAGCACCATGTATTAATCTAGTTGTAAATCACTATGGATTTGAAATAAAATCATAACCACAGAGACACACACTCTTCAGCTCATATCTATTGAGATTCCTGTTAAGAGAGATTTTCATTGTCTGATAACTAAAGTTTTGGGATAAACTATTATCAAGCAAAATGGATTAACTAGACAGAGAACAGTTTCTTATACAGTGTGGTGGAAATCTCTTTGAAAGTCCTTTTAGTGTATACCAATAATCCCCACTCATGCATTCTACTGCTTGGAGTAGCTGTACCAGTAAATAATACTGTAGGGCTTAATACTTGTTAAAATGGGAGAAAAATGTGTGTCTAGAGTTTATTCCTTGCTATATGAACACAGCAAAGCATAGTGACTTTTTCCAGCATACAGTAGGCACATTCAAGGTGGTGTTAGGTGGCTCTTTTTCCATGGAGTGAGCCTGTTACCAGTAAAGATGGGCAAACATTTGGAATTTACATGTGGGCAGACGTTCTGGTTTTATGTTTCTCTGACTCTTTAAGCTCTGATTCTTTAAACCTGGTTGAGTTTAGTAAGCAAAGCTATTTTAAAACCCTCCAGATGATCTTTAGGAAGGAAAATGCCTCATGGAGGACATGTAAGTTATAAGTGGCTGTCTTATCTTTATTACAAAATATTGTAACAAATTCAATATCCTAGTCTTGATTTGTATGAATGGTTTGTATTGTACATAATTTAACCAGTGTTATTTGAGCTGCTTATTAATATTAACTTGTAATTGTCTCTCTGCTTGTTATTGGTTGAAAACAATCAAGGAATTGAGGAATCCATTTTATCAATGTAGCTGTAAACTCATTAAAAGACAGAACTATGTACAAAGCATTTATTCAGCTAAAGTATTGTTGAAAGCTATACATATAAACATTACAGTTTGTCTGTACTTAGATATTTTATTTCCAAACAAAAAAATGAGCTGTACATAAAAATAAAAGAAATCTTAAAGTTGAGTTTCAATATGTACTGTGTAGATGGTAGTTTAAATGGTTCGGAAAAGTGGGTAAAGTTCCAAATCTGACACAGTTTTCAATCTTACCTCTTTGCATATGTACATATATTTATAAATTTGCGTGTGGGCATGTTTGTGTGTGTATATATACGTGTGTGCATAAGAGTACGTGTAAATACTTGTAGACATGTATGGAGAACATATAAAAACTTCTCAGGCCCGATTCTTAGCAAGAAAATGTCATTACTACGAAGGGTGTTGATAACTTGAGTGGAAGACCCCGTTCAGATGAATTACAAAATTCAGGATTTGTTTGAAATGATTCATCAGTGTTTAGAAGTGGGGAAACATGATGCCACACTGTTTCAGGCCTGCCATTGCCTTAATTCTAGCCTCCTCTGAGGCACTGATTTCTCTTTATGGAATTAAGAGATCCCTGTATATGGATTAGGGAATTTTCTTAATATGAATGAAAAACTCCTAGCTTTTATATATTTTTGTGTGTGTACTGGCACACTTTACCCCCACTAGCCGGTTTACAAGTGACTATAGCAAGGCCATGCTTAAAAGAAGGCTGCCTAAGGAAGAACTCAGTATTTCTTCCCCTTATCTTTCAGAATTATCCTTCCTAGCAATGCTTCCTTCCCCCTCTCACTCTTACCCCAGGTTCTGTGCTCTTCTGTGAAAGCTGTGAATACAGAGATGGGTCAGCTTCCAAATGTGCACAACATCATGAGCGGCTTCTACAAAGTCCCAATAAATCTACTAATGTTTCAAGAAGTGAGAAGTTTGAAACAACATCCAGTTGTGGACATCTCTTGCTGAAACATGCAGAACATAAACGAGAATGAAACAAAGTGAATAAAATATATGCTTAACAAGTAAACATTTTCCTAATAATGTACAAGTAGGAGAGAAGACTTGCATATAATTAATGTTTGGTTCCTTCAAATGCATATGCCTGTGGGAATTATTTCTTCATTATATGTGACTTTCCAAAGACAACCTTGTGGTTCTAGACCATGTGTAGATTTAGAGAAAGAAAATGTCCAAGCCATACAGTCCAGATTCTGATTACATTCAGGAGTATGTTGGGCTACAACTCATTTGTTTTTTCTCTGACAGGAATTGTGATTGTACTAGTAGTGTTCCTCATTTGTGCTGTATGAAAAGTAAGTGCTGTGAATATATACCACAGTGTAATACATTCTATAACCAGGAGTAAAATCTTGGCTCCATTGAAGTCAGTGAAAATTTTGCTATCTAGTTCAATAGGGTATTAATTTACGTATGTTAGTATATAGATGTCCAGTTTTAAATATGATTAGCATCCTGTATCATGATTGAACATTACATGTGTGGTTTCTTGTTTATATTTCTGAAGAGTGAATGTGAATGATTACTACTGGTACAACTTCGTTATGTTTTTTTTTTTATACTGTTCATGAATATATGAAGTAGTTGCATTCTATGAATTGTATAAATTATATACATATATATATATACCACATAGATATATATAGATAGATTTCAAGTAACACCAAGACGCAAAAGAGTTATTTTTTAAGCAATAGATTTGATTCTTCTAATTGTGGTAGTTGGTACTTTATCTGCCTCTCACAGCCAGTCACCATGTTTTTAGTCTTAAGCCTTAAAAGAACTTGCTACTCCTGATAAGTTTTCTTGACAATGAAATTGGAAGAGTTGTTTTGATGATCTGGTTGTGAAACAGGGATCTAAAATCAAAGCATATAATGTGTTACTTATCTGCTAATATTACACTGCGGTTCATTCAGTTTCTCTGGGAACTATATTGTGTTTTTTAACTTTTAAAAAAATTACTTCTCTGACAGGTGAAAAAGGAATTCAGTGAGCATGAGTATTTCTAATTCAGTTAAACAGTGTACATATGGATATCTGGGTCTTGTACATGAACAATGCCTTAATGGAGTGCTAGACTAGGCAAATCTTGCCTTACTGCAGGCCACCAATTCTAGATATTATAAAGATGCATAGCTCTAAAGGTATATTTTTAGGATTAAAGAAGGTTAAGGTATTGATGTTTACAAAATGAGGTTAGTGGCTTTGTTCCTTCTTTTTTTTCTTTTTCTTTGTTTTAATAATATAAAGTGTTTACAAATGTGGTTATTTTAGTTGAACAAATTATTACAAAAATATATGGATCATACAATTGGGCAAGGAGCAATATACTTAATTTGCCTTGGGTGGATCAACATTAGAGCTTATTTATAATCTTCCATGTTTTTAAGACAAGAAATCTAGGATACCGGAAATAAGAGGTTTTACATTGCATTTGTTTCAGATCAAACTTCTCTACAGTGATGAAAACTTGAAAGACTTTAACTTGTTATTTATATCAAAATACTTCAGCACAGAACAGAAAATTCACTTTCTTCTTTGCTTATGAAATAACTCATAACATATTATCCCTTTCTACCTTTTTCCCCACATTTGAACTGATAGTAAACAAACTAGAACATTCACATTTTAAAAAAAAGCTTGTCTTTTAAAATTTCCCTTGAGAAAAAAATATAATGCCAAAAAATGTTGAAATTCACTATACTTATTTAGGATGAACCAAGAAATATTATAATTCCACCTATAGGAGAGCAGAAAGGAGGTTTTGTGGTGTTTTGCTGTATGTTGGCCTAGACAATACTGCTCTAAGGTGTTTAGTTGGAGTATGCTACTGTGATTAAATCACAGCATTGTCATGCATTCTCTGACTCTCATGCTGTAACCTGGTATTCTATAGGTATATTACAAACTGCTATGAACACAACGTGTCATGAGAATGCAGATTAAAACAGGGATTGCATCCTCTGCTCCCTTTTTTTTTTTTTTTGAAATTCCTATTTACCAATGCACGCAGCATGGGGAATAACCAAGAAGAACTGGGGATCTATGTGTGGTCACAGGGCCATGATCTCACTCTAGGACAGTTTTCATACCTAAAATGCTTTCGTGGATGGCTACGTAATCTTTAGGAAAGATGATCCAGCAAGGTGAGATGGTGAAAATGATCTTTACGTGAGAGAACTGGAAAGTATTGAGCTCTGCCTAGGGATCACTGATAAACTAGTGGAGAACTTATGGGTGAGAAGTAAGAGGTAGGCTAATCTGAGTGACACAGTTGAGGCTATCTTAACAGGAGGAGGAATCTGATGAGGCCTTCTACAGATAGCTGAATGTAGCCTCACGCTCACTGGTTCTCATGGGGGACTTCAACAATTCTGATATTTGCTGGAAAAGCATAACTGCCATGCACACACTGTCCAGAAGGTTTCTTCAGTGCATGGAAGATGATTTTCTGATGCAGGTGGTGGAGGAGACAGTGAGGAGAAATGTGCTGATGAACCTTGCTGTTACAGTCAAGGAAGGACATGTTGGAATGAGAAGGTCAGGAGCAGCCTCAGATACAGCAACCACGAGATAGCGGAGTTCAGGATCTTACATGGAAGAAACAAGTCAATAAGTACAATTGCAACCCTTGACTTTAGGAAAGCGAACAGTGACTTATTCAAGAGCTTATTTGAAGGCATGCCATGGGCTAGAGCATTGGCAAGTAAAGAGGCCCAAAAGAGTTTGTTGGTCACTACTTCCAAGCTCAAGATTGGTATACACCTAAGAGTAAGAAATCAGACAAATTAGGAAGGAGACACATATGGATGAGCAAGGAGATCTTGGAAAAACTCAAATGGAAGCAGAAAGTCTAAAGAATGTGGAAAAGAGGTCTGTCCAGTTGAGAAGAATATAGGGACACTTTCAGGGCATGCAGAGATGCAACAAGGAAGGTTAAGGCACACTTGGAATTA